ATTACCATTTTAGGAGCCAATAATGGAGGATAAGCCGAGAATTTCGTGTCGTGAGTGAAGCCCCAGAATCGTGCGAAGAGAAAGTACTTGGTGTAAATTGTGAACACCAATTGAGAGTTATTTATGGTGTCACGTAGGAAAGCAATTTGGTGCGCACTCGTAATGCGAGAGTATGGTTAGACCATTACAGGGCCGTATCTAACGTCTTAGAGGCCCCGGAAAACCAGTATTCGTGACACCTTGGACGTAAATAATACCCACTCTTTAAGGTTGCTCAAATTGAGGTAAATCACAATTGAGACACAAAAATTAAGGCGGTTGCATGATACCGAGTAAAATAATAACAAGTTAGGTGACTTTGAGTAATACATTTCTCCTTTGGGGTTATTAAGTATTCCCAAGCGAAACTCAGCTCAATTTGCAATTTGAAAAACGATATCCTAACATTTGGATTTTGAGGCCCTCCAGTCTAAAGTTGGCAAATACGGCCCTGGGCCATTACACCCGATTAGGGCCTCGGGATCCTAAGCCTCTGGGGAAGCATTACCATGCACTCGACCCGCACTTAAGTGCCCACACACTGATACTTACTTATTGTCTTGTTTTTTTTTACTGAGAGTTGGGCGGGTAATCTACGAGTACCTATTAATGGGCATATTTTATTCAGTAGCTTTTTAACAGAAAATTAACTTTGAGTCTAATAACAGAAAGTAAAATTGGATTTACGACTTAATTAATAAATGAAATGCCTATTAAAATAGAGAAATTTTCCTTTAGAAATCACTGATTTACCTGTTTGATGACAGAAATCAAATTACAATGTCTATGAATGCAAATCGTAAATTACTTTCCATTATTTACATGTTTGACAGCCGCAGGCGTGGTGGTGCACGCGACCATGCGGCTTCCTGCCATGTCTCTGCTCCTCTCGACCGAGAAAACTATTTCTGTCATTAACACTCCATACATTATGTAAAAGAAACTTTGTTACTAGCATAGCCTGATGGAAGTAGATCAATTCCAAGCAACTATGGTCAATTAATTGGAAACATTTCTAATTATTAATTAACATCCGATACGAATGAAGGAAACGTGCAGTCATCAATATTTATAAAAGCTAAAAAACTGGCGATTTCATTGCAGTTTTTATAAATAAAAACGAACCACTTTCACAGGCGTAATCAACGAGAGTGTTATTGCTGTTTTTTATTATAATAATAAGCAATTGCTTTGAAAAGGCTCTTGAGTCATATTGTAGAACACGGCAAGGTCACTCAGTCCGCCGCGTTTGTATCTTTCATTTTATGTAGAGTGGACACTGACTCTTTGCTGAGTCACAGTAGTTCCAGGGAACATCCGTCCGCTGTCGGATAATGTTGTTTTTATACCCACGTGTTTTGAGTCAGTCAAACTCATAACCGTATTAGGAGAGTGGATGGAGACGCATCATTCGTTATCTTTACATTTTTAAGACAAACTTAGGATTAAATTAGTGCCAAACTATGTTGTATTCATTGGAATCGATTAACGTGTACAAGTGGTAGAATTAAAAGCTTCGCAGCCGTAATATTTTTTAAATTGACCCAAAATATGGGTTGAAACTTAAATCGTTAAGGACACCATGGTCTACATTTAACAGCTGTTTTGCTTTAGAGAGGTGATAGTGCGGACACGCCTCGTTACTGTCTCACAGACCAAAACAGTGTAATGATTGTGTTTCTGTCAACTGCTTTCCCGTGCAAATATTAAGCCACACCGCCCATTAAACCCATCACGCCACCTTTAAGAAACTAAAGTAATTTTAGCAAACAATGCTCAAATGTACTTGTCATGCAATTCACGATACGAATCGGCCAATGCCGAGTTTTAAATGCACTAGGTACGCTCAATTCGTATAATTGACATTGTGAAGTTTATATTTTATAAATTTTATACAACATTTAACGCTCAGTGGCCAGACTTCGATTGTAAAAAGATTGCAATAATGACTCACCGAGGCAATGGATCGTGATACGAAAACAAATTTCATTAATGAGCGTACAGTGTTACTAAAAATGAGATGGATTTTATTACTGATTCCATAATGAATTAATAACGAACTAATCCATGGAATTACAAAATAAAATCTTAAGTCGATGAGTTTGAAAGCGTCAAATAGAATAAATGACGTTGCGTTTAGACACACTTTCACTAGAGAAAGCCATTCGTGCATTAAAAATCTTTGTCTTATATCAGCAGATGCGCGGGCGCAGCTGCCTATTAATCAGTCATCATTATAACTGATGTAAAGCGCTCTATTATTTTTCGCTATTATGTTTTTTAATTGTGCAGTCTGACTTTTGATAACAACATCAATTCAGAGTTTCCGGTGTACCGTGTAATGTGGTAGATTCCAGAATGTTACCCTGCTTATAAATACGAATACATAGGGGAGAGGGTGGCAAGATGGGGTACTTAAGCTTTGAAGATCAATAAAAGAAAAATATACATAGTTAGACAATCATATTTATTTTTTAATTAACAATTAGTTAATACTCTTTTAATATTTGGCAATATTAGAAACTTTTAACTATCCATTTTAGGAAAAAAATGGATAGTTAAAAGTCTTACCCCATGGTGCTGGTAAGATGGGGTACCCCCCTGAGGTAAGATGGGGTAATGAGAACTATCAGGCAAAAAGATAATTATTTGGAGTGGCAGAACTCGCAGAAATGGATGGCTTCGTCATCATCGTCATCAATTCCCACACAGCTACTATGTGACCGTCTTCCGCAATGTGAGCATGATATCCACCCCTCAATGGAAGCGGAATATACTTCACTGCATCACACATGGTGTATCCTCTTCTTCACTTTAATTTTCAGATGAAGTCTCTGTAACTCTTCATCGTTTTGCTGTTTTTGCTTGAGTTTTTGTAGTAGCTTTCTTCTGTTTTTTCAATTCCTCTTTTCTCTTCTTTGTTTCTACTTTCTCAATTTTCTTCTGTTAAAAAAGATGCTTTTTTCTTTTGGGCGGTGACTTATAATTCTTGTTTGTAGGGTGATAGGTGATAATTTGTGTTTTCCCACGTTTTTTAGTAACACGAAAGGTTTTTTTGGTAACCGGAAGGGGAAGGAGTTGTTTTGGAGAAGTCATTACCCCATCTTGCCTGCTAAGCCATTTTCTAATAATATTCAAAGAAAAAAAAATCAAACGGCAATCTCTAGAAAACACAATGCCTACCTTATTATAGGTTTGTTTAAGCATCAATCACAGCCACACATCATCAGCTAGCGTTATTAAACAAACCATAGTCACGTGCCAAAACAGAAGAAAATATGACAAGCAATTTGCAGCAAAACAGTTTTTTCAAGATATATTTTACACGCGTGTACTTGTGATGTTAATGGCCGGGCGACTGACAGGTGTCATGGCGGAGCATCGAACGTATGTAATGTATGAACGAGCGTGATTGGTCAGTTTAAACTGTGATTTTTGCTGGGTACCCCGTCTTACCCGCCACCCCATCTTACCTCCTTCTCCCCTAAGTATATGAACATAGTGCCTACCTAATTACATATGTACCTAGTTTCTTTTTTATGACTTGTCCCTAAAGAAAAAGAAGCTTTGAAGAATTACACATCGCTTATTTCTATCACAGGTCAGGTTATTTACATCAAATCATTACTTTCCCATTTATGGAATACAAATAACACTTCAAATCGTTATAAGCATTACACTGATTTGAAAACTAGTTTCGCGGCGCCACTTAGTGGTTTGTAACGGTGTCAATAGTAATCATTAAAGAATCATTTAATCGGCAGTCGGCACAGTTTATCGTATGACTGGTTTGGATTTGGACATCTAGAGATTTATTGCAAAACTTAATGTATCTCTCTTATCAGATTTCAAGTTAGGACGTAAGTACAACGACGATAGGACAACAGATTAAGTACCTAGGTATAATATTTTTGTTGCAAAATATTACTATCTACTACTAACTGAAATGTTAAAACTCAAGACTCATTTTATACTCTCAGGCTGGGTTGCACCATCTAACTTTAACTTTGACAAACGTCAAAAATCTTTCAAACTCCATACAAAAAACACCGGTTATGGTTATAGTTACGGTCAAAGCTAGGTGGTGCAACTCAGCCTTAGTCATCATTACTGTTAAATATTAGAGCATCATTTTTGGAAAATAAGTCTTGGGTAATGCTTGAATTTTATCTACAAAATTTTACATTATAAACGATGTTTTGAAGAGCTTTCGCATTCGATGTCATTTGTCTTTTTTCCCGAAATGAACGCCTATATTTTTATAATTATATTATATTTTTTTTATCACTCCTCAATTTATACGACGTTCGGATTCCATAGAGTCTTAGTCGTTTACTGTTCATGAGTTTAGTAATTTTACGAAAGTATCTTATCCCAAATTCGAGTCACGCAGAACGAGTTAAATAAGAAGGTAAGTATATAAAACTAGTCCACTGCAGTCTCATCTGTTCGTCTGTATTGAGTAGATCTCTACCAACGAATGCTGTTTAGATTAAAGAGCTATATTTCTTAAATATTATTATCATCCTCCACTTGTCACGTCTTCTCCGTTTTTAGCATACCCACTGCAACATCATCAAGGAAAAACCACTTAGCTAAACCCCATTAACGTAACTCATGTGCATTTTATGCACACCAATAAAGGCAGTGGTCGACCTAACATTGGCGCCCACGTCTCTCAGATTGCCACTGCTGCCCCGAGACAAAACTATTATTAGCTAAAACGCAACAATGTTTCACCATTCTGCCGACCATCGCACCTTGCACAACTATTGGTCAACGCTTAACTAAGGCAGTGCGTGCTGCCAGCATTTCCCTTTGTTTATTAAGATAATAAAGTTCAATCGGATAATCGCTTCCGATATTACAAAATGAAAATGCAAAATTAATTAAACAAAATCCAGCAAACAAAGTTAGTTAATCCGACAGCAGTATTAATAGATGTCGTAATATTGTTACAGGTTGCCGCCTTCAAAAGATTAATCAAGAACGACAATAAACAGCAACAATGGAAAGTTGGTTGGATAACGTCAAACGCGTGAGGATCCCCAGACCGAAATTCGGGAGCAAATACCCGGCGGAGCCTCCGAAGGATTATCTGGAGGAGTGCGGAGGGGACCTCGGGGGAAAACAGCGCCATCACGACAACAAAGACCTGGCCAAAGCGACCGAGGAGCTCCGCCGGACGCTCCAGGATAAGCTATGACCTCCCCGGAGACGACTAGCAATAATGTAGCTTTAACTTGGCCGTTGGATTATTGACCCCATGCCTTGCCTGAATAAGCGATCACGAGGATGATTACTTGTATTGTTTGAGACAAATGAACGTGATTTGCGAAATCGGCAAGCAACAAGTACTGAGCAAGATACTGCTATATTTCATTGTATTTACCGCAGTAGGAAAATAATCAGTCTTGTAATTATCTTAAAACATGTCTCGTTAAAACAAATCCTTTGTGCATTCACTAATCGATCGTGTTATGACACTCCAAACTTTGTACGTTAATTTTTCTTTCTGATTGGTTGTTTCATTTAAGGTAGAAATAATTATGTACTAATTTAATACCAGTTGATAATATTTAATAATAATTACTTTAAAATTGGCAATTTAATTAACAGTTAAACCGTTATGTTTTTGTCATTTCATATAATTTAAACTAACTATGCATAAATTGAATTATGTCATCATATTGTTGAAGAAAGTATTGAAATATTGGGTTAGAACTGAAATAATTGCAAAATAACAATCCGATAGTGATGCCTAATGAAACAAAATTATGTATCAGTATTAAGAAATAATTGTACCACAGGAGGTTTGTAACATTAGTAGTAGTGTAAAACTACTTATTAGCTTAGACTGATATTTTATTATTTTTAAGGTTTTATTGTAGAATCTCGTTAAGGATGAAATATTAAATGTATGTTTAAATGAGTATTTGTTTTGGTTTTGTCTGTGTATGAAATGTATGAAATAGGTATCTAATATGATTGGACTATCAAAACTATCAAACCTATATGGTACTTACCTAAGCTATGAATCAGATTTTGAGTTCAAGGTTACAAGGTTTTTTTAACTTAGTCATACTTTTACTCTTTACGAAGCCGAGACAGGCACTTATGTATTACTATCTACGAGTATAAATACTTAGTATGAATGTGGAAGTATTCATTTCTTTTATGAACATGATTTTTATGTTATCGTGGCCACATAACTTTGACTTAAATGTAGCACGTATATAAGATATTTTTATTTAAAAAAAGAACATCCCGTAAATTCACGTCTAACAAATTTCAGCTATCAGACGAAATGCTACATCGCCATAACACAGAGATATGGCACAAAGATGTGGATGGTTCTGGCAGGCGCTGGCGAGCCGCCAACCGCTGTAGAACTACAAACGAGTTTCGGCGGGAAGCACAATCCATATCGCCATTTATGTATTGCTCAAGACTCAAGTTCCTTTAGGCATTAAGTATTCTGTGAACGACGGCTGGGAGTAGGAGGCACCGCTGAACTCAGAGTTGCTAACTAGGCAAGTCTTAAGTTTGAGTTGAGCGGAGACCGCGAATTGGCAAACACACTACCTGTTTCCTAGCTAAAAGATTGCAGTTGGTTATAGACGAGAATTTCAGTACTTCATTTAGAAATAATTCAATTGCAAAGACCTAAATTTTTTTGTCTGCTATGTAAGTTATGTCTTTAGTGATGTGCTAAAATTAACCTTGAAGTCATGAAATCACTGAGAAGTAGATACATTTCTGCCATATACGCAGAGGACATGTCCTATCTGCGACTCTTTTTTATGTTAGCTCACCCACTCATTCAATTTGTGATTAAGTGACGTTCAAAATATTTACAAATTAGGTAAGCAGGTATTTATTTTAAGATATTTGTAGTTAATTCAATATTGGTAGAGCTCTAGACAAAACACAATCAGCGCTCTATTTCAGGCTAAGTGGAGTTCGCCCGAGACCCTGAAGATTGATGATGACAGATATGTCTGTTATCGGAGGCTCTCGAGGTTCCAAGAACTAAAGCAAACTGAGACTCTAGGGGACATCGTTATTATCTTAGTGGCTATGTAACTAATCGATCATTGTTATTTCAATTTGGACGAACATAAGAGCGCTAAAAGTGTCGGGATACTTAGAAACTAATCCTGAAACTACACATTGATTTAGTTTTTCGATTAATTTACAGCTTGAAACGAACAACAAAAATTATGATGAAATCTCATAAGATTTCATCATAATTTGGAACGTTCGTAATTTTGGAATACTAAAACTTTGTTTATAGCTCTTGTTATCCTGATAATCCGCGAACAGTACCTATTACTAAAAGGTTACTACTTCGGAATCTATACTCACAGCGTCGTCGTAATGTTGTGTGTGCAGCGCGGTGGTGCTGCCCTCCCTGGAGTTGCAGGGCGAGGAGTGCCTTCGGGAGCGCCGACCCTCTTCCTCGTACTCCTGTGCGGGAAAGTTACAACGTTAAGAAATCAGAAAATTGCATTTGCTTTTAGGGTTTAAATTAGTACTTATTAAGTTCAATTCATAAAATTTTATTTTGTAAAAGGACGGATCAATTTCACTCAAAATAATAATGAAATTAAACTTTTTCATTATAAGTGAATCATTGTAAAAAACACGTGCACTTAAACGGCCGTAATTCGGTTGACTGACTCTGGCTAGCGTGTTTTGCTTGCTATACTGCTTTAGTTAGTATATTAACCGGCAGTAGAAATCCCATCCATCATACATTTAGTACAATCGGGGCTCTGATTTAGCGATAAAAGAGACGATTTATTTATAGCCGGGGAAATGTCGGGGTCAACGAGTCTGCTCTGAAATGAGAAAAATATGCTCCGTCAAATCTAGCTGATATTTCAATATTTGGCAGTTTTGTAAGCGTAACCAGTTGAGAGCATGTGCTTTTTACCGTGAAATTTCTTATTGAGTGAAACTAAATAAAAATTAAACAAAAAATATAATTAGGTACATCAAAAGCACAAAAACATGCATACAGAGCAAAAAATCATTGCAAGCACTTTATTACAGTTCACTAACCCCTCTTTACAATTAGATTAGGTTTAGACGTCTAAATTATGAGTGAAAGTAAAGGATTGTAGGTCGACATATTACAGGATTTGATACAAGAAAACACGTAGCACATAAACCTCTAAAGAAGTTGCTAACGACACAAGTGCAAAGTTCAACGCAAAAGTTCGTAGTGTAAGTTGAAACGCACACTTGTTTGCAACCTATGAGTAGACTTTTTGCTTAAATCGCAACTGCACCAACGTTTTTAATTACATATTTTAAAAGCACTTTTGCACTAGTTGAAAAATCTGAGATAGTACAATCTCGGTCTAGACGTGGTGTGAAGCACTAAAGGCTCACAATCAGACTGCAGCTGGATGACCAGCCTAGACTGTGCAATTGATTTTCGCGTTATTTTTGCATGTTGGCACAGTTTCGTCGATGGCTGGAGAATGCGACTCCCAGTTAAGTGGCAAGTAGAGGCTTATAACTTGAGCTGTCTCCAGCTAATAGCCAACCACTTTTTACCGAGTTTAGCCATCAAGTTTTCCCATTAGAAACTTCAGATGTAGAACATAAGCTCATAACACATTATGACAAAACTAGGTGGCAATTACAACAGCCGTTTATTCTCAAATAATTAGCTTTGAAGTACGGATATGAATAAATTAAATCTTAACGACGCCGGTGTACTAGTTTATCGTACCTACTTAAATTAATTAGCTATCTATAATTCACATGAAGGAATAAATTTGTGTTACTCCAGCTTTCTACAATTAATATGAATAATCGTAAATAATGGGTTTCTAACTAATGTTTTTTGATTTGTAGCTCGTATAACGCACATAGTAAATGGATAATCGTTGGTCTGGTGAATAACTATTAAGTTAACCTGTCTGAGCTAAATAAACAAGAAGTTAAAAGCAGATCCAGGTGGCGGCGGCACCTGCTCCTCGCGTGCTCCGACTTCCACTCAACGATAAGTACCACATTGTTATCGCTTCCACCTAAATCTTGATCTCTATTTATTTTCGTAATCACGAAACTGGCTTAATTAACGCGCTCGGGATTTTAAGAGAAGAAAATCTACGAAACGACTGGCGATATTTCTTGTTTTTATTACGCGTAAGCAACAAATTAAAAATTATGACAGTCAAACCTAAAATTGTCTGTCTGCGAGATTGTTTTTAGTTATATTCATGTTTTTGTAACTTAGTTAAAGTATCGCTGTCGCTAAACAATGTTATTTATTATTTTATCTTTATCGCAGTACATCGCTCTCTACCATAGTCAGTTCAGAGACCTCTCAAATCATAATGATACACTGTCTATTGTTTTTAATTCACATGCTTACATAAACACTCAAAGCCATTCTACAACAACAAGTATGTTGAGGCAAATAAGTAACAAAGTTAGTATGAGAGTGATAGTGGTAGAGCAATTAATAAGTAACGAACATGACAGCAAAATGTAAAAACATGTAAATATTCCAGTTCCTTACATATTTTTGTCTCAAGTTTTCTTATGTAAGTCAGACCGAAATAACTAATTTATTGTTGTTGCTTAATGAAGCTTACCGCTACGAGTATAAATAATACTTGAGTCAAAAATTACACCCATTAATTAGTTACCTACGATTTAAGTAAATGTAACTAATATTAACGCAAAAGTATGTTAACACTGTTTCATGATTTAGCCTATAGAATTAGCCAGGAACGTATCTAAATTAAAGTTCAAGGACCACTTTCTCATTATTAAACATTTCATAACTTATTTAAGGGCTGATTTTTCAATCGTTGGATAACTTTTATCTGAAGAATAAGTTTGGCACATTGACAGTTTTAGTATGGGAAATATGTCAAAATGACAAAGTTATTCTTCAGTTAAAAGATATCTGACGATTGAAAAATCAGCCCTTAATCGTAAAACGTTGACATGCAATAACATAGTTTCAAATTAAAGTAGGTAAGTATTTTGTTTATCATAGTATCTATTGCATGTCGCACCTACGGTGCAATAACGTCACTTATGCAATTTTTTTTTAAACTTAACTGAATCAAAGTAAACCAAGTAAAGAGGTAGATTTTGAGTATTTTCTCATAATCAGTTGTTTTGAAAAAAATTGCATAAGTGACGTTATTGCACCGTAGGTGCGATGTGGTATACTGGTTTGACCTGTGACCTTAATAAAAAGCATTATCTAACTTAGTTGAAAGAAGTCACCGTCTGCACATTTACATACAGTTGTTTGAGATATCTTTCCTGGCTAAAGCTGCATATTCTATTCCATTATCATTTTATGTCCACAACTCATGTAAAATGCATGTGCTAGTTAGCCAAGGGTTTTGGCAGCCAATATCTTAAAGAAATGCCAAAAAAGATAAAGAGGTTTTTCGTCTTAGGCCGTTGCCACACTGGCATTGCGCTGTGTCCTACCTAACATACTTCACATATTGTTATTATGAATGCTGTCTTTTAAAGACCATGATACAAAGTACCTTATGATACCTAGTTATAATGTTTATGTCGGGGAGCATACATTAGCCAGTTTGTCTGAAACTGTTGCTTTATCTGAATGCTTGTGTGCAAGTAAACTAGATCTACATGGTAGACATACATATTGACTTGAAGCATATTCGTTAGTACAAAGTAAGATGATGATTGCCTATTATAGGATAGGATACCTACTTAAGTAATTTATTTTATGGTTCACCTCCGATGAGATCAAAAGCTATCTTTTCAATGAAATAATATTTTTGTTCTACGCTTTAATCGGATCCGGGATATTAAGTTAAAACAAACATACTATTGTTAATTACATCATCATTGACTCTTACCGCGTTTGTCATGGTAACCGTGACATTCATAATTATCTGAAAAGCGATAAGGTTATGTGATAAACAGTTGTTTATTTAGGAAAATGTTAGCGGCCATTTTATGGACTTATGAAAGATAGTGTAAGAGTGCTTACATTTTATTAATAAGAAAAAGTGTTAATCTAATGGTCTAAACGATTAAAATAAGCCACAATAATCGTCGGCCATTACAAAGCACATTATACATTTGACCACAGAATTGTTACTAAGCAAACCAACCCAGAGGATGGCTACATTTTATTTTATGGATATTAAATCATAAAATTAGGCTGCGGTCACACAATGCGTGCTTCGGTGGTACGCAACCTTGGCGCGATGGCGTGGCATTCTCCATATAAAATCTATGATATTGACATTACGATCCGCGTGTTTTTACCCGGATTTAAGCAAAAAATAATACACCTGAAGAATTATATATCACGAAAATAAGCCTGTTTTTGCAGTCGGAAAAAGACATACTTTAAGCTCGGCAAGAGCTTTTGATTATGAATGCAGTATTGAGGTTTCATAATAAGAAATTGATCTCTGTTGTATGAATTATGTTCCAATCTCAACAAAACGTCGTCTTGAATCAATCATATTGAGGTGAACACGTGATAACTCCTCCGAAATGTAATTTCAATCTTTTAGGTGTATTTCAGGATAGGTATTCGGGAAAGGATTTAAGGATTATCACTAAGTAGACCTTTTTCAAATAAGAGGAGCCATGTATGTTTTTCGCATTGTTAGGGCAACCATAACTAAAGAAACTTCTGTGGGAGTTGTGATAAAAGTTCAAAAAGTAAATAGATTACGGTGTTACGGTCTACCGTTTATAATTGTTATCAACAAATAATTCATTTTATTTAATGAAGGAAAAGTTTAATCTGAGTTCTATTATAGTGGTGAACTACTCTATTAGCAAGTAGAATATATCACAGTATCACTTCGAGGCTGCATTTTATGTTCTGCGACGTTTCATGCAAAATTAGCACATAAAAGGCCACATAGAGTGGCAGAGGAAAGACCGAATATAAAACAGGGTAGGTACGTATGGTGCAATTTCATTTCATGGCGGTTACATACCCACTTCCTTACTCTCCGTATATTACACTGTCAAATATCATCAACGTTGACTGATTATTTTACGGAACAATGTTTTTGACGCAACGTCCATTGTTCTCATAGCAAAGTTGCTTTATGGATTACATTCTTTTAAAATAACACAGAATAGATGTAGTTATTCCATCGTAAGTTAGTTCTACTTTCCTTTTTCTTTCTGAAGGCCGCTTTTCTTGGACTTCAATTGAAATGGATTCAATTACGGGATAAAAAAGGATTGGCTGAGGTACTACTAACTACTTATTCTTTTAGACATATCTGGGTAATTGAAAACGCTCTTTACAAATAAGGAAATGCAATATGAATACAAAATATTTAGAGTAGGTAGTATAATCAATGTGATTTATAAATGATTCTACAAGAGTATGGTTTGCTCTATTGTACTTTTATTAACGTAGTTCGGTACATATGTATGTAGGTAAGTAAGAGTTACAATCTTGATGTAAACCAAAA